TTGCAGGAGGATTGAGATTGTGGGCTGACGAGCGAGGACATCAGGGCAGGGGCAGGGGCAGGGGCAGGACGAAAAGGACGAAACCAGGCAGCCAACGCACGCAATCGGCAACGTGTCGCATTTGTAGTTAGACATAATTGTTAATTACCCGAAACCATTACCACATTAAAGGCCATAAAATGCAACACTAATTGCTTTATGCCACCTCTACGAGGCAGGGCAGTGCACTGCAAGAAATTGGGCTGACCTTCGGGAAATTTCCGACATTTAAAGGGGAACAAATCAGGAAACATTTCTGTGTAATAGAATAACATTCAGTATCAGCTTTATATCAGCTTAACAGTTGATGAGCCTCAGTCATTTAATAACAATAGCGTTAATTGAGCAATAAGATTAAAATTCTATTATATAAAGTGCAATTGATTTCTCCCAGTGCACTTGGCTCGAACGTTTCTATTTGATTATGCAGCCAGTGCTCTCCTTTGTTATGGTTCTGGTCGGGCCATGAGTTGGTGTGTGCCGTAACGTAATATGGAGCAGAAACAATAGTTTCGGCCTCATCATCATCCAACGGATCCAGCGCCTTTTCCAGCTCCATTCCCCCGATCTTCCGATCCCCAATCCCCCGATTCACCGAGCTCATGCTCATGCCATGCCAAGCAAACATTGCCGCTCGGCGGCAGTCATCGTCACCAGAGCTGCACATGCCATATGATTAATATTTCAAAATTACACTGACATGCAAAGTGTCAACTCATTTTGAGAGACGCCGCCGGCAGCACTTGGCACCCTGGCACCCTGGCAGCCTGGCACTTCGGCACCCGGGAGTTGGGAGTTGGGAATACGGACTACGGACTGCGGACTACAGACGGCGGACTACAGACTGCGGACTGCGGATTCCGGACTACGGCCACGCCCACCTTTCCACACATTTAGAGCACAAAGCGCTGACAATGTGCGAGCAGGCGGGAAAAATGGGGAAAACGTTTTGTTACAATTCACTCACAGGTGGCCCAGTGAGAAAAAAGTAGGCGTGTGAAATCGTGGACTAAGTGAAATATTTATTAGCCCCGGCACATCGCAAGTCACGCGTTCGGGGCACGCGATTAAAATGGAATTACCACGAGAAGAGCAGCTACGTGAAAGGTTGTGCGAGTGGGAGTGGCATGTAATGTAATCGAATTTATAAGCGCCTACATCTTGATAAACACAATCGCCATCACAATCGCAATCACAATCCCATTTACTCATGCGCAGCAACCGGTTGCCATAGAAAGTCACAGAAACAATCGGGGATATATCCTCGGAGTGGGAGTGGGACAATAATGATGGAGCAAGGACGAAGGATGCAGCTGGAGCAGCTACATCAATGCCAGCGTTAATCGATTGCGCTTGCCGACTTACATAATTGCATTTTTCCCATCTCGGCAGTTGAATCGCAACAAAAGCGGATCCAGCCATAATCGAATCAGCACTAGTTTCTGGCATAAGAAGTTACCTGTATTCTACACACTTACTTATTAGGTGTTGTTGCCTAAGCGAGAACAATAGAAAAACACAATGGTGACTAGAAAAAATCGAATGTTTATATTAATTACTTTTAGCAATAACACGTAGTTAAAAGCAAAAATAATATTATAGGTTTTTGCATGAGAACCAATCGGTTAAGAGAAGTAAGCAATACAAAGAAAACTTTGGTGGTTTTCGGAAGTTCTAATAATTTCCCGTTTGTACAGCCCATAAAACTTTAAATAGTTATCGTGTGCACAACTCTGAGGTTATATAGACAGATGAGCAATCAATCATCGTGCGTAAAAGTGGTGAATTAATTTAGAGAACTTCAACCGCAATCAGAACGTTAATGTGGCATGTGCATCGATTATTTCGATATGCCTATCCTGGGCAGACCAGTCGTCCTTATGGCAACCGAAGGAGTGGCAACCGCAGCAAGGAGAAAATGGCCGGCAGAGCAGTTGAAGCGTTTTTAATTGATTTCTCCTCTCAAGTATCGCCGCACTCACATTTATCAGCCCTCCGTTTCCGTTGCGGCTTGTCCTGCGTATCTGATCGGAATTGATGCCACTGATTTATATAATCTTGCCCAAATAATCTCATCCAGTAGTTGGCATAAGCCGGCTCGCAATTAACACGACTCAACGCGCATACACAAAACGCCAAAATGGTAAAGGCGGAATGCTAAACGGCAAACGGCAAATGGTAAATGGTAAATGGCAAACGGCACAATGTGTCCCGATCCCAATCCCAATCCCAATCCCAGACCGAATCCCAGACCGAATCCTTTCGGGTCTGAAATATTGGCCTAGCGATTTGACATATTGCCAACAAAGGAACTCATTATCTGTGCATTAAAATGGGACACGACCCGCTTTGGTTGTGTTGTGTTTGCCTTTTCAGTTCGCTCGGCATACCCCATTCCACGGTGTGTGTGCCACGCTTATAAAACACATTTATCATAACTAATCCTTTGGGTTTTCGGCTGCCATGCCTCCGGATCCGGACTCGAATCCGCCCACACCACTCCACCGCCACCACTGCTCTGTCAGCGATAACACTTTGAATAATAAATAAATACAAACAAGGACATTTTGGCAAAGGCAACTGCCAGACGGCCAGACAACGCCGGCCGATTTTTAATGCAAACGATTATCATGTAAGGCAATATAAAAATAAATTGCAGCCGCCAACAAAAAGGAAAAAATCAGGAGCAGCGACAGGACATGGGAAATCGAGGGGTTGCTGGCCACATGGGTGTCCTTCGAGTATACACAGAGGAAAATAGGTAAGCCCCAGTGGTCTGCAAAAAGTATTTATTTTGTAGGGGAGCTTTAGTGCCCAACTTAACACCTGGGTTTTTTATTTACAAATTGTTCTATTGAAAAAGGAGCAGTACAAATAGCTTCGTAAAATACCGGAAATGCATATTATACATAGCATTTAATGAAATTTTAATTATGCATTAATTATTTCATGGCTCAAAATGAGATTTACCTAAGCCAGAGTCAGGAAATCTGCAGCCACGAAGGACACGAAATGAATGGCTTCTTCTGCTGCGATTTTCTCTCCGTACACCTCCTGTTCCCGATAGGCATCTGAGGCGAATCTAGGCCCAACTTGCTGGCAAGGACCCAGTTCGCCGCTAATAACGCACAGCCACCGAGGACGGAGGACAAGCGAGAGACTCCCCTGCTTGGGAGTCCAGCTCCGGCGGTCTCCGGTCTCATCAGTTCCAGTTCCAGCTTCAGTTCCGTATCCTGCACAGTCTGAGCCCAGATCCTGCTGTTGCTGTTGCCTTTTGGCAGCATTTAAATAAATTTCGCACGTACATATAGACCAGCGGTTGGTGTTTGCAAGGAGCGGGAATGGATGGCCGGAACACACAAGGCCTGATGCTGGCTGTTGCTGTTGGCGACAGCACTTGGCTTCGACTACCCTGGTAGCCATTAAAGCCAATTGCCCACAAAATCATGCCCGATATCATAATTGCTCTTCGTGGTTTCCATACCCTGTAATCCGGCAGCTGTCCGCGAGCCTCACAATTTCAGTAGTTCTTGCTGATTCTAATGATTTTAAATCCTTAACCTACTGGGTACCTAAACAAAATGTAATATGTTCTGGTAATATGGACAAGTACATATTTTATGGAAATATTTTTATGAAGTGCGACAATTTCACAGCTCTTTCTAGGCTTTTCAAAGGTATTTAACTTATTTTTTCATAAGATCTGTTTTCAACAGACAGGGTGTCAGCAGTTCGACTACGCCCAAAGCGCTGGAATCGATGTTCGGCATCGTTTAGTTAGCGCCAACGGGCAGTGCAATGGTTAAGCGAGTTTGGACGAGCGGACCCCGAGCTCTTGGCTCATATAAAATATTGTTTATACAGTCCGAGGGCAACTGGCGGTGGAGGGGGGGCGAGGGTCGTACGGGGAGTAAATCGCAGAAGCGATAAATTTAAACACTTGTTGTAGTTGCTGCTGCAAAATTTATTAGAAGCACTTTGTGGTTCTGGTTCTGCCGGCTTTTTGCATGCGTAGCCCATGGTCCTATTAACGTCTAATGGCCAGTTGCAGTTTTATTAAATTTGCGACACTGAGCCATCTATACATATCTCCCAAAACATATCAGATATGTATGCACAAGTATATGCCAACACGCCATGTTGCCAGGGAGTTCAAAGTGCAAGCGGATACCCATTTCGCTTGTTTTGGCCACTTGAATTTGCGCCAAGTTAATTAACACTAACGGCTCGGCCCAAAAGAACTGCCAAACTAAACAAGTATTGCCGCTCCGCGCGGAGTCCTCGAATGCTAATGAAACGTTCGCTGCATAAATTTAATTGTTTATCGGCCTTCTGGGCTGGCTGAAGGCCAGGACCCGCCAAATGCCTTTTGGCCAGCATCATGTGGGGAAAATGGACGAGTTGGAGTCTGGAGTCGGAGAAATGTTCCGGAAACTGAAGTTTCGGAGTGGAGGCGGGCATATGGCGCACGGGGTGTTTGGCAAGTCATTGGCAATGCCGATGCCACGATGATGACTTTTAAACTTTCTATTAAACTATAACAGCGATGATAGATGAATAATAAAAGCGCCAAATACATAATAAAAAAGTTTAGCGTCATTGGCGACAGGCGGTTTGGATTTTCCTGCCAGTTCGAGGCCCATCAGCGGCTGCTTTCGCTTCAAATCAGCCAGCCATATTTGTTCATGCACTGCGAGAAAGTGGTTCTCCTTTCCTGTTGTGTATGTGCAATAAAAAATATGGAAACAAAAACAAAACTTATGTCTGCATCTTAAAACGCGAAATTACTACATTAAGTATTATAATTCTGTTCTATATTTCGATTTATAACACATTTATGTACGATATTATGTACGATAAATACTCGTATTATGTTGCATAAAATGCCATTAGGATTTTGTTTCTAAATTCTAAATAAATATACATATGTTAATAATATTTATTCAATAACTTTTTTACAGTGTAAGGGGCCATCGGTGTATGTGTTCGTCCTGCAGACGAAGACTGATGCTGCTGCATTTGCGGTGAGAGTGCGTGCCTCGCATAAGTTAGAAACGTTAACCGGCAGCAGGACGAAGGACGCAGGACGCAGGACGCAGGACGCAGGACGAAGGACGAACGGGCGGAGGAAGGGAGGAATGGAGAGCTGGAACTGAGACTGGCAGGCGAACTATGGCATAGCGGATCGAACAGATTGATGAGTTGTTGAAAAATGGCAAACTTAAACAACAATTCCACTCCGCAGAGCGGGGAGCATGGGAATGACTAACGATGAGCAGAGAGTGCGGCCTTTGTGCGAAATTTCGCATTTGGTTAGCGCAGCAAGGTTTAGAAAAAGGGGGAACAACAGGATGGATTTGAGTGCACAGCAGGGGCCGAACACATGCATACCCTCTACATTTTACAATAAATATATTATATACTATAATAACTATAATACTTTCGAATTGTGTACTGACTTTTTTGCTTTGAGCTACTACATTGGGCATTTACATTTAACCAATCGATTCGAGCAAAAGTAGGTGTATGCGATCTTCGTTACATTAAATTTGAATACAATTTGTTGTGTATGCATCAGAAGCTATGTACTGCATCATAAAATGATGCATGTAACATGTGTATCAAAAATGATGGCTATTCTAAAGACACTCTGCGAGATATACTATTTCCAACCCAGTTGCCCTGTTGTCAACTTCCAGATCATCGGTTCGAGGAGAGCTGTGCTCCAAAAATCTATATTTTATTTATTTCGAGTACTTGCATCCGAAACCATGAGTCTGGACCACACAAATTGGCTGCTGAGCCGCCTGGCGCACTTCTACTACTCGATCTACTTCTACGTGTCGCTGTTCTCGCTGGGCTACTGCCTCGTACTGCACCAGGTGCGGAAAAGGATCTACCAGATGGACTTGTCCTGGGAGCGGGTCCTATTGGTCTACGGCTGCACCGGGGCCCTGATTCTGATGCTGACCCTGATAGTGTACTACGCCTGGGTGGCCATTGGACTGATTTGGCGGCAGTATTGCGTACATAGTCGTGCCTCGAAACGCACTCGATACCTGTTCCACCTGTACAGGGGGTAGCTGTAGTAGTGATCGGATTAATCCCGAATTGCTTTCAATAAATTAATCAGTTGGGCACTAAATGGGCGCTGGTTGCGCGCCAATATGCAAATCGTTTAATCAAAATGTAAATGCAAATGCGAAAAATTAAAATGTTCGCTCGTCAGAAGTCGCGCAAACAGACATTTTGTAAATATTATTATTACATCCTCATTTTTGCTGCTTTTTTTTCCCTTCTTTTTTTTTTTTTTGGTTGCGTTTTGCGTGTGTGTCCATTTATTTATATTTTGTGGGGTCGTTTATGATTTTTTGGCTCCCTTTTTACAGCTGCACGGCGATAAATTTGCATTTAAATCACCGCCACCCCCAAAACCAATTGGTTGTGTGAGCTGTCCTGCTTTTTCGGGGTTTGTGCGCCGGCGAGACAATGGGAGCCAGTGCCTCGTACCTCATGTATGTACGAGTACGAGTACGGGTTTATATGAGTATGTACATGTGTAACCGGGCATTATTAACCACAAAGTGTCACATGATTTTATTTCGTTTCGTTTCGCTTCGTTCCGCAGACGTGCATTTTACCTGCAGCTCGCTTTTTGTGCCCATTATTTTTGGGCTGACTTCTGTCCGATGTTAAACGCTGATAAGCTCCAAAGGACATTTTCCAGCATAAAATAGCCGTAAGTAGCACTTGTCTGCCGAGTGGCAAGGAGTCGGGAGTCGGCAGTTGCAACTCCGGGCAGCGGGACGAGTCCTTGGACTCCAGGACTCCAGGACTCGAAGACTCCAGGACTTTGAGACTGCACTGCAGTGCAGTTAGGCGAGTGCAGCTGGGATTGCAATCGCCATAAAGTGCGCCGCCGGTCGTCGTCGAGGGCAAAATTGAAGTGCAAATAAAACGGCGAGCAGTTCGGCTGCTTTGGTTTCTTTTTGTTTTTTGGCATTTCGGGACGTGGCGAGGATACTCCGCGTTTCGTCGCATATTTCAACAAATTTTTTACTGCACTTTGCAGTTTGTGCATATTTTTTTTCGACCAGTTTCCCCTTTTTGTGTCGCTTAAATGTCACTGAAACAGCCAGCGGAAATGGTCGGAAAGTATTTCGTTTGTTATGCTAAAATTTAAGGGCTCAGGAAGTCGTTTTAAAGAGCAGCAAGCCAAGACAACAAAAATAAATAAATGATACGAGAAACATGAAGGAAATAAAGCGAAACTGACAAACGATTCGTTGTTCGATTTATTCGGGGTATTTTCATTTATTTCACGTTTGATTGATTATTGCTAGACATCCGATCGGCCACTGCAAATGAGTTTTTGTTATTTTAATTTTTTGCATTTGTGGCACCTTTTTTCTGCCTTTTAGCCAGCCTTTGCTCTGGCCATTTTAGATTGCATAAATATTGCGTGATTTCTCGTAAATTCCAATGTTTATTTTATGCAAATTTCTTAAATTAAATCGAACGGGAAAAAACGCCTCTCGAGTGTATAAATGTGCAAATTATTGGCCGAACTTTAATTAGCTGCCGTTTATTGCGATATTCAGGTACGTAATGCGTTCTGATTTACGCTTCTCCAGCGATAATCTTCTGGTGGAAAAACCCACGCGATTGTTCATTTGCATGATTGCCAATTTGAGTAGCATGATTTATGATTTCGTAGTTAAAGTCAACTTCTAGGCCGAAAAAAATTGCGGATATATTCCAGAAAGTGAAATTATAGTTGCACATTTCACACGTGCCATTGCACTAGCAGTTTAATAGAAATTAAGAATTTAATTAAATTAAATTAAATTAAGAATTAAGCATTCAACTACTGTAAAATTTATCATTAGCAGTTTAATAGAAATTAAGAATTTAATTAAATTAAATTAAGAATTAAGCATTCAACTACTGTAAAATTAGTCATTAATAAATCGATCAAATAAAAAGTCGCTATTCAAATTTAAATATTAAAAGTTGATACTACGAGTTACAAAGCAATTTTAAGTGCGGCAAATAGATAACCAATCCCTCGCCATAAGCGAATTTGATTCAAGCAACGTTTTTCCTGTTGCCAGGGCCATTGCCATGTGGCAGTGATGTTTATCAATATATCAGAATAAATAAGCCATTTTCGATTCGCCGGCATATGCACTTGTCACCCATCTGCATCGCAGACTGGCAGCGTCTTGGCTTTGGCAACTTCAATCTAATGCTGCACGATGTGGCACATTGAAAAGTCAGCAGAAAGCCTACCAGGATAACCAGGATAGCCCGCCAGTTTGTGTGTGTGTGAGCTGAGACAGGAAGCGGAATAGGGAGCACAACGACCCACATATATACACATAAATAAGGGAACGGCACTGAGACCCCTGACTCACATGCCCCAAAACTATGCGCATCATTTTATTTGGGCACGTGCTGCTCGTCATTTAAGAGTTTTGTCTGCACTTTCGTTGCTTGAATTTTAAAATATTTTCCGTGCCAAATGCCTGCGTGGCTTTTACTTTTCGCCCTTTTGTCCCAGAGCCCGTTGAGGCGCCCTTAGCCCTCCGATTGTCTCCTCAAAAGCACACAATATGACTGTTGCTACATATATATGGCTACAAGTATATATATATATATATGTATATAGATGTGTGCATATAGTGCACAACAGTCCCTAACAAAGTGCCCAAGTGGAATGCAACATTGTTGCTGCACAGCATTCAGATGTGGCGGCATTTTCTATTTCCATTTTTGTTTTGGCATTTTTTAGTTGCCTTCATTTCGCTCTCGCGCCGAGCGCCGTCATTTCCACTGACTGCGTTTCATTTGCCTTTTGCAAGGACTCTCGGATCGGCCTCTTCCCGGGCACAGGACCCCACTGAGGCAGACGCTTCACCAGTAATTTGGTATGCCTTTTGTTGCCTGCCACAGTTGCTGTCCCCACTATCCACACTCGCAGGAAAAATCTGTTTGCAGGCCGGGAAATCCAGTCGAGCAGGGAAATAATCCTTGCTTACGCTCGTTTTTTTAATCAGGCTGCTTACAAAATCTGTCCAAAATGAAATCATTCAATACCTACACACAATTTGATTAGCTGCGGTATTGGGTTTATAAAGTAGACAGTTTATAAAGATTAAAAGAACACAAGTCTACATGTTACAAAATAGTAAAAGATGCACATAATGTTATAATAACAGATTTTGGTTTGATTAACATAGAATACTTTTAGTTTACTGTTTTTCAAACATTTTCTGAAAGTGTGCTCTCTTTTTTGCAGCACCCCAACTCCTCCACTGATTGCTGAAAAAAACTATTTGCACTTTTAATTTGAATTACAAATTTTGCTTCGGCTGGGAAAAAATTGAAAAAGTGTAATCAAATTGGCGGGCATATGCAGACGTGTTTATGTGTTTATCCGTCAGTTGCAAGGACTTCGGGCTTTAACGGTGCCGAGTTTGAATTTAATTGACTGTTGGCCGCATTTACACAGCCCGACCGTCTGGACCATTGCAACGCGTTGCCGGTAATTGTCCCGCTGGCACATTATGGCCACTGGGTGCCCGCAAACACACACACACACACACACACACTCTGCTGGTAAAACACCAATGGCAACGTATTAAACTTGCATGGGCTATGACATCATTGTTGATGCTGCAATTACCAAATCACTAAGCTCCGCACACCCAGACTATCGCACTCGCACTCGCACACATTGTAAATATGTCCTGGGAGCTGGCAAATATTCGCATAGTTCATGTTCGACCAAAATCGTTTAGATTGCCAAATAATAGTGACAGACCTTTTCCAATCACGAGCATATATTGTCAATTGTTTGCCGTTGCTCGGGCCGCAGGCTGTTGGTAAAAACTATGGATATTTCAGTTAAAATCGACTTCACTTTACGCCGCTCCGCAGTATAAATTTATTTATTGATCTCCTGAAGCGCATGGAAATTTCATTAATGCTACCAAAGTGTGTCTTTTTATTCCAGATATTTGATTTATGATTCATTAAGCCGTACAAGTGTATGTATGTGTAATCATTCGCCATATTATTTAAACAAAGTTTTCATTTATATTTACATCTGAAAATGGTGCTATAATATATATTTGATGTATATTTCTGCCTCTTCTGCAAATATTAGAATGACAATAATAAAATAATAGCATATAGACGTAGTTAAATGAATTCTTATCATACTAACATGTACATTTTAATTAAACACAAAAAGCCAGCTGCTCCGAAGTGCCACCATGAAATAGAGCTGCACAAGTTTTGCAGAATAATAGTTTATACAAATAATTAAATGGTCTTAACTAAGAAATAACACTTGTGTCTCTATTTTTGGATTGGCAGCATAAAGATGTCATTTTGTACAACGTAATCGTTTAGTAAGCTAATGTATTAGTGATATGCACTAGGTTCAAGAAATGTTTTCATTTTAAGCATTTGCTTTACAGGGAACGCTTACTTACGTGAACCAACAAAAAGTTGTACTAAATTGTGTAGCTGCGGATTAACATGCATGGGATACCGAAATCCTAATTCCTGAGTATCGATAAAAGATAAATTTGGAGTGGCCGCTTGTCTGGTTTCGAACAAGGCCTGTTTACCAGCCCAGCCACCCACACATACCTTATTTTTCCGTACTTTTTTTCGGCTTCTGGGGGCACCCGGAATAAACAGTTAAAATTGCCGCAAAAGTGCGCATACGACACGTTGTACGAGGCCGCGTCGTTGCTGCGAGCAAACAAGCCCGAACACTTGGACCAGGACGACGTGCCTGCTCCACCCTCGCAAAAGCCGTAACAAGTGTCGCGGCAAACAAGGATACCAAGGCTGAGCGGGCGGGTGAGTGGGCGGCATCCGGGCGGCGATGTGGGAGAGTCCTGGTCTGCAAGCGAACCGAACAGGTTCGAGTTCGAGCTGAACAGCACAGCACAGAACAGGATGACAGAGCAGCTCGTCCTGGCAACGATACTCGGACCCATCGCACAGTTGGCTGTCGTCCTGCGGCAGCGGTGGTTGTGTGCGCTCGTCCCTTGGACTCACCACCAGGACTCCCACACTCAGCTCCTGTGCCTTGAAAAGTGTTTAGTGTGCAAATAAGCAAACCAAAAAAAATCACAAAAAAAAAAACAAAAAAAAAAAGAAAAACTAACAAGGAAAAAGTAAGCATTAGAGAAGTGGTTAAAGTGACAAAACCTGAAACTGTCGAGGACATTATTGTGTGAG